AAAGATGGAGAGAGACTATTTCTGAAGGCCTGGAGTGACAGGACAAGGCGGAATGGCTTCAAACTGAGAGAGAGTAGTTAAATTGGATATTGGATAGAAATTCTTGACTCTGAGGGTGGTGAGGCCCTGGCACAGGTTGCCCAGAGAAGCTGTGGCTGCTCAATCCCTGGAAGTGTTCAAGGCCAGGTTGGACAGGCCTTGGAGCAACCTGGGATAGCAAAAGGTGTCCCTGCCCATGGCAGGACATTGGAATGAGATGATCTTTAATGTCCCTTCCAACCCAAACCATTCCATGATTCTATGATTCTGTGACATAGTTATCTCTATGTTTACATATTTCTCTAAGTCAGAAGCCAAGACCACACAGTCCCTCTGCTTGGGGCTGCCAGGAAGGTCACCAGCACCCCATACCTTTGGTAAGGTCACCCTGAGGGGGCAATTAATCCTTCTGGTGTGATTTAACACATGAGAACATAGTCTTGGGGGCACCACACAACCCAGCCTTGCTTCAAGCAAATGTTGAGTATCCCAGGCATCTTTCTGAAGATGATCCAGAAATGACCCAGTGGTCATATTTGAGGTGAAATTTGCCTCTGCCTCAGGATGAGTTCTCCCCCACTCTACACAGTCCTTCATGAGAAATCAATTTAAGGTCTGTAGGATTCATCCATCCAGTGAAAGGGCAAAAGCTGGTAAGTGTGGAGATTCTTCCTACCCTAGAAAGAAGTGCAGCAGCCCGTGGCCTTACTGAAGGAAATGCAATGACGGAGGGTGTGCAGCCCCATCACCCACAACCCTCAGCACAACTACAGCGTGTTCAGGCCAGGTTATTTCAGCAGCATTGCCCCAGCATAGTTTTGGCATGTGCCAGGGAGCATCCTGCCAAGCAGTTTGAGCTTAGGAGTCTGCACATGCTGGGGACTGTTCCCAACAGGCAATTGGTATGGGACCACCCAGTTTTGGATTTAACTCCATCCCAGCCAAAAGCAGTAGAGGCAGGAAAGTGATTTTGGTATGTATACTAAAATGATAGATATGTATACCCAAACTTGCCCTTGGCCATTGTTCTACAGAAAGGGCCATGACATGGGTGAGTTGCCTGCTGAATTGATAGATCAGGAGTCCCCAGCTTTAAAATTAGTACTATCTGTTAAATCTGAAGCACCAGAATCACAGAATCATTAAGGTTGGAAAAGCCCTCTAAGATCATCCAATCCAACCATTCCTCCAGCACTGCCAAGGCCACCACTAACCCATGTCCCCAGGTGCCACATCCACACAGCTTTTAAATCCCTCCAGGGATGGAGACTCCACCTCTGCCCTGGGCAGCTGTGCCAGGGCTGGACAACTCTTCTGGTGAAGAAATTTTCCCTAATACCCAATGTAAACCTCCCCTGGCACAGCTTGAGGCCATTTCCTTATGCCCGATCTGTTGTTACTCCCGATCCACACAAAAGGCATCATCTAACACTGGAAGAGGAATTTGCCTCTGTGTTTCCAGAGTCTGCTCTGGTTTGGTTTCAGCCAGGTTCAGGCATTCGAAAGTGAAGCAAAGGACAAACCCAAGGTCTTACTGTCCACCTGCTTTTCCTGGTGTTTCACCTCACGTGGCCTGTCCCAGACCATGCACGTCAGGCCCTGGCCCAGGTTTGTAGGACTGACATATGCCCACAGAGCCCCATCCAGCCACGTCAGCTGGGACCTGCTGAGAATCCTTCTCGGGGAAGCTGATTTATCCAGACATGCAAACTGCTCTTGTTGTTGTGCTGAGAGGCTCTGTCGAGGTGTAGGAGCAAATTGCAGCTCTCAGAGCATGCTGAACCACCCCAGGGCTGAAGCACTTCCCTCCCCAGCTCCTCCTGCCTCTTTTTTTGCCCTTGTGTTTGCCTTTGGCCTGTCAAGTGTGGCTGTTCTTCATCAGTATTGAGAGCAAAGCCATTACTAGCAGGCAAATGGTGACAGACTCGAGGACCTGAGGGATCAGACTGTACTTTCCTCTTTGAAATTTGTCAGGTTTTGCAAGTTATAAAATTAAGCACTCAAATTCCTTTCCCTCTTAAATATGGCTAAAGAACAAACCTGTGAACAGCAACATCTTAGAACACTTCCAACTTTGTCTCAGTAGGAAAACAAGTTTCCTGTCTCAAATTCACCAGTTTGGCACAGAAATCTGAGGTGTGTGTGACAGAATGCTGGAAAGACTCAAAAAGGGACACGAATATCTGATGCTCCTGGTGGAAAATCAGTTGGCTAATTATTATTAAATCAGTGCTGGCCTTAAGCTGAAGGAGGGCAGGGTTAGATGGGATATTGGGAAGGAATTCTTGGCTATGAAGGTGGGGAGGCCCTGGCACAGGTTGCCCAGAGAAGCTGTGGCTGCCCCATCCCTGCAAGTGTTCAAGGCCAGGTTGGATGGGGCTTGGAGCAACCTGGGATAGCAAAAGGTGTCCCTGCCCATGGCAGGACGTTGGAATGTGATGGTCTTTAAGGTCCCTTCCAACCCAAACCCTTCTATGATTCTGTGACCTCTATTGTTAAATTGCTAAAACCAGGGAAGAGTTTGGGAGTTGTCCCGGAACAGGACCATACCCAAGGGGCCAGCTTGGGCCCAGCCACCCTGTTTGGGAGAGAGAGTGAGTTTTGTGGAGTGGCTGTGATTTATGTGCACAGCGGAGATGTAACTGCAGCTCTGAGAAATCACGTGAAATTCTCCTGTGTAAGCCTACATGTAACCCCACTGAGATGTCCCTCTCAGATGCTGAACTTCCAGGTTTTTCCCCTGGCAATGGGGAAATTCCCAGCACTGAATGCATTTTAACACCCCTTAATTTAACAAAATCCAGAGGTAATTACCTCCCTCAGGAAAGGTATTATGAAGATTAATTCCGAGGGAGCCAACACAGAGTAAACAACACTGAAGAAGAGTGAGATTTGGGACCCATGACGGGCTCTGCGTGTGCCAGCTGGCAAAGGTCTCCTGGGCTTTGAGGGTTCGTGACTCCCAGGCACTGCAGAAGGAGCTGGGATACCTCACTTGGGGCTGTGGGTTGCACCACAAGGGTGTGAGCATCTGAAATTAGCCATGACAGGGTTGCATCTGAGCACCTTTGAAGAAGCCTCAAACCAAAACACAGGCAATCTGGACTTCTCAGAAGTGCTTGGCAAGGGTCTAATAACTGGCCTGTGCTTCTCTGTGCTTGAATTCAAGAGGCTGCTCCCAGGAAAGGACCAGTTCAGATTTCAGTTTCTTTTGATCCTTTGGAAATTAAAAGGGCTGGACCCATGGGAGCAGCTGCTTCTCCACAGACCATCACCCTGAGCTTCATGGACCACAGGCTGGGGCTGGATCCAGAGAGCTCTTCTCTTTTGGGAAGAGGTCCCAAGGAGCTCCACATGTCAATGCCACGAGGTGCTTGCTGCTGAAACATCCCCCCATAGCAACACAGGGAGAAAATGAACTGCTGGAAATGGGAAGATTATTGGTCTTCCTTTCTGTAACCATATGAGTAAGGCAAAATTGAAGGCAACTCCTCGTAGCTATTTGGGCTGGAAAACAGGCAAGGATGCATACAAAGCTTTCTCTCCCTCCCCCATATTAAACAGCCCTGGGAGACTCTGAGGCTCAATCCAAACAGAAAACTCTTCCTGGGTTCATAACATCCTGTGGTCCAGCTTTGTATTTCAGCCTGGCAGTTGTTTCTGTGCCAGGAAGGACCTGAGTTTGTTTCCCTCTCCCACCTGGGGAAGTTCAAACCAGCATCCTGTCCATCCCACCAGCAGCTGGAGCTGGGTCTGCAGAAAGAGGCACATTTTGTTAAGAAACTGTTTTTTTATGAGCAAGACAAACCTAACCCTGTTCCTACCCTTGGCATGAGAGACTGGAAGGAAGCAAAATGTCTGGCTTCTGCTGGATGCTCCCCATGGGTTTCTGCAGGACACTGTGCAGAGTGTGTGGGGTCATGTTGTCCCACGTGGATGAACTGGTGTGTTGAGTCACCGTGTGGTGACTGGCCCTGTGGCTGAACTGTGTAAACCAAAACCCCGTGGTTTCCCGTGATGTGACCCCTGTAATTCCATTATTCATTTCCAGGAAGCTTTGTGGAGCTCTGCTGACCTGACACTGCTCCTTTTAAAGAGGCATCATTCATAATCTCTGCCAATTGTTTGGTCCTCAGCATGGGATGGATGGAATGATTTTAGTGTTTGTGCAGAGTCTCTGGGAAAGGGAAGAAGAATGAGGATTTCTGGGTTCTGGATGAAATTCTGCTGATATCCTGGGTGGGTTTGAACAAAGCAGGACTTAATAGGACAACTCCATGAATGCAGGACAGGATATTTGCATCTCAAGCCAAGCCCCAGTGATGAGTGAGAAGAGAGAAACCACATCCTGCAGAGGAGCCCACTTTTTGTGCTGTACCCTCTTCCCAGTTGTCACCCCATGGACCTGCCTCCACAGAACCTGTCACAGTGTAAGGAACTTCCAAGCCCTTGGGAAGATAAGACAGGCTCCCAAGAAGCACAAGTTATTCTTTCATAGAGTCCTGGAATCGTTCCGGTTGGAAAAGCCCTCTAAGACCATCAAGTCCAACGTTCCTCAAGCACTTCCAAGCCCACCATTAAACCATGTCTCCAAGTACCACATCCACATGTCTTTGGTCAAACACTGTCAGGCTTTGTTCCTGATCCTTATTTTCTGGAAGGCTTTGTCTTCCAGCTTACATGAAATCAAGGCAACTTCTTCAGGAGACAGGGAAAGCAAGAACTGGACAGAAAGTGTAAAGCTGGTTTGCAAGGGAAAACAGCAACTCCAGCTCACACCCCTCTCCACAATGGCCTCAATAATTCTCTTTTAAACCCCTTTTTTTTTTTTTTGGCAGTAGTGGCTTTTTTAATTCCACATTCTTCAAAACATTCAATGAAAGCATTTGTTGACATTTCTTACGTAACTTAATAAACCAACAAGAAAGAGTGACCCGGGGTCAGTTCAATAACACTCACGATCGCTTTCTTGATAAAACCTCAAGTCACAGCATTTGTTGTGAGACAGGGAAAAATATCAACAAAGTTATTCTTTCTTTCATTGTAAACCAGGTGGGAGGAGAAAAACCTGCTGAGTAGCACTGCTCTGCTGGGGACACAGGCTACGAGGTCTGCGAGGAAATAGTGGGGTTTTTTGAAGAAGGTGAATGGCCTCAACCCTGCCAATAATTTCAGAGAGATTTGCTGAGAGAGAGAGAGAGAGAGAGAGAGAGAGAGAGAGAGAGAGAGAGACTCACTCAGAGACTGGTAGAAAGGTGACTTCAATCAGCTGAGCCTGAGTCCATTTACTGGTTGGGAGCATCAGGCAAGGTCCTCCAGGATGTCCCTGTAGTGTCAGATAATCATAGAATGGTTTGGGTTTGAAGGGATTTACATTATGTACTGGGAAGTAATTCATCCCTGTGAGGGTGGTGAGGCCCTGGCACAGGTTGCTCAGAGAAGCTGTGGCTGCCCCATCCCTGGAAGTCTTCCAGGGCAGGTTGGATGGCGCTTGGAGCAATCTGGGATAGTGGAAGGTGTCCCTGCCCATGGCAGGAGGGTGGAATGAGATGATCTTTAAGCTCCTTTCCAACCCAAACCATTCTACAACTGCCTGGAGGAGGAGGGATTATGACACAAAAGCAACCCTGTGGCTGCTTTGATTCCCACCCTTCTTGCAGTAGCCCAGGCATCAGGCATGGAAAAGTCTCACATAGAAATATCAGGGCCACATGTGGAGTCTCTTGAGGGGAATTTTCCCTCCTCCCTTCACTTCTCCATCTTCATGCATAAGCCACCAGACCCGGAATAATTTATTCCCTACCCTTAGAGCTACATCTGTACCCGTAAATTAAACAGCTCATTTTTAGGTCTGGAGGCAAACTGGGATGTTCTGGCCACATCCATGCTGTTAGAATCCAGAAAAGGGGAACGTACCCCAAATCATAGAAACACAGAATCATAGAATCATAAAATGGGCAGGGACACCTTCCACTAGCCCAGGTTGCTCCAACCTGGCCTGGAACACTTCCAGGGATGGAGCAGCCACAGCTTCTCAGGGCAACCTCTGCCAATGCCTCACCACCTTCACAGGGAAGAACTTCATCCTAAATGCCTGATGAGGATGAATTCTACCAAAGAGTGAGGTAAAGGATGGATTTGGGGTCAGGGCAGCTCCACGGTGCAGCTGCAAGTGAGCTCATGGCATTTCCTCGTGCACTGAGAAATCAGTGAGGAAAGGATTTACCCAGGGAGCTACTGGGAGGTAAAAAACCCCAAACAAAACAAAATCAAGGGTCTTGTTGCCAAGGAGATCCTTCCAGTGCCAGTTTGTATCCTGTGGTGGAGGCAACACCAGGGAAAGAGGCAGAACATTGCACTGGGGCAAATGTAGGGCTGTTTTTCCAGTTTTGTTTCCTCCTTGTTCCCAGGAGTCACACGGATTTAAGCCACAAGGTTTGCTAAGAGCTATCCAGTTTCTCTCCCATCACCTTCTTTTCTTTGCAACTTTTGTGGTTTGTTGCTTTTCTGTGAGGAGGGAAGCGGGGTGAGAAGTGGGGATTGTCTTCTCATTATCTCTGTTCCAGCTCTGCCTGCTTCTGCTCCCCAGACAAAGGCTGATGCTTGCACCAAGTGTTCACCTCCTTCCTTCACCACCCACAGCATCCTGTGGCAACAAATCTTCTGCTTAATTATAAGTTGTTTTGTTGTTGCTGTTGTTTTTTTTTTAAATAAAAAACCTCTTTCATCACTTCTGAATCTTCCACCTTGCAGAGTTAGGTGCCAGGGGAGAAAAATGTCTCCAAAACACCCAGATCATTAGCCCAGGGGTAGTTGTTCTCTCTCCTGTGGGAAACCTCGGGGGTCCTGTCCTGAGAGACACTTCAGATCTCCAAGATAAGATAAGCCATGGGGGGTGTGGTGGCCCCTGTTCCTGACTGTGGTGAACCAGCTCTGATTTATGCAGGCCAGAAACTCAGGCTGAGTATTTGGGGATCAGTTCTTTGGTATTCTTTTAATTGGTCCTTTCCACCTCTAATTGCTCCCTCTCACTGTGGCTGCTGCCTTATGAGCAAAATTAATTTGAGCTTTGTTTGATGTCGAGATGGAGGCTCTGAAGCCTGAGCTGAGGGATAACCAAGCCAACAGCCTTGGCATGGCTTTAATTCCAGTTTCACAGAATCACAGAATGTGCTGATTGGGAGGGACCCACAAGGATCATCCAGTCCAATCCTTAGCCCTGCACAGGACCATCCCCAAGAGTCACATCATGTGTCCCAGAGTATCATTCAAACACTTCCTGAGCTCTGGCAGCCTTGGTGCCATGACCACCGCCCTGGGGAGCCTGTTCAGTGCCCAACCACTTTTTGGGGGAAAGGCTTTTTCCTACTATCCAACCTAACCCTCCCCTGACCCAACTTCAGGCCATTCCCTGGAGTCCATTTCCTGGTCACACAGAGCAGAGCTCAGTGCCTGCCCCTCCTCTTCCCCTCCCAAGGAAGTTGTAACTGCGGTGAGGTCTCCCCTCAATCTCCACTTCTCCAGCTGAACACAACAAGTGCCCTGAGCTGCTCCTCGCACAGCTTCCCCTCAAGGCCCTTCAGCATCTTTGTTGCCCTCCTTTGGACACTCTAAGAGCTTAATATCTTATACTCCTGGTGCCTCTGAAAACCTGAGCAGGCAGACACTTCCTTGATTGTCAAAAATCTGGGGTTTTGACTGGGATGCATCGCTGGCTTGGAAGATCCTCGTCTTCCTCCCAGCTCCAGCATCTAGACAAGTCCCATTTCCAGTGATTTCATACAGCCTCTGACAGGGACAGCAGCACAATGTGCAGTTTTGCTGTTCCCTTTCCAACCCCCTCTTCCCTCCCCACCCTCCATCTTGTGTTCCAGGCAGAGATGCGCCTGCAGGACCAGCAGCTGGCCAGGCAGCTCATGAGGCTCCGTGGAGACATCAACAAGCTGAAGATCGAGCAGACGTGTCACCTGCACCAGCGGATGCTCAACGACGCCACCTTCGAGCTGGAGGAGCGGGACGAGCTCGCTGACCTCTTCTGTGACTTCCCCCTCGTCAGCTCCTTCAGCCTCTCCACGCCCCTCAAGCTCATCGGGGTCACCAAGATGAATATCAACTCCCGCCGGTTCTCGCTGTGTTGAAATGTGGGGGGGGGAGAAGATGAGGGAGAAAGAGAGGGGGGACAGGGCTCTTTCTGGGAAAAAAAAAGGCCAAAGAGAAGCAGAAGGAATAGGGGCAAACAGGGAATCCACAGCTGGTCTTGGAGGCAGGATAGAGCAGCAGACCTGGGCACTGAGCCGCTCGTTGAGCAGACAGGACCTGCATGGGAGAAGCCTGGAGAGCATCTGAGCCCAACACATGCACTTAGCCTGCTCCTTGGCAAAGTCCCTTCTCCTTCTCTTCCCCACACAGTAACTAAGACACGGCTCAGTGTGGTTGGTGTTACTCAAAAATCAAAGGAGGGGTCAAAGATCAGCCACAGAGCCAAATCCCTTTTCTCTTCCCCTGTACCTCCTCCCAGGCTGGATCT